TGTGTGCTATATGGGAGGTCTAGTGGTTCTAGTTGATTTTCTAGATAAAGAAGGCTGTATAGACTGAGAAACAACATTGGGATTAATAAAAAAATAAGGATCAGCAGAAGAAATATTACCTGAAGAAGAAGAGCTATGGATAGGTGTAGATGAAGGATTGGATTCAGAACTGGGCATGAAGCCAATAGGGGCAAAATCAAAACTAGTTTCTGCGCTGGGAAATAAAGTTGTATTCTCTATATATAGCTTGGAATCAGAATATGGAAAAATGTTTTCAATAAACTCAACATCTCTGCTAACAAGTATCTTGTTATTAGAATTGTCAAAAACTAGATACCCTTTTTTAAAAGTAGGATAACCCAAAAAAATGCAAGGTAAAGCTCTTGGACTAAATTTATCTGTGTTGGGTAAAACATTGGCATAACAAAGACATCAAAATACTCTTAAATTGTTCAAGTTTGGTGTTTATGGAAAAGAATTTCATAAGGAGATTATTATTTAAAAGAGGTGTAGGAATTCTATTAAGTATGTATGTAGCAGTAAGAATGCAGTCTCCCCAGAAATGAATAGGAACATGAGATTGAAAATTTAGTGCTCTTGCAATATTCAGTAAATATCGATGCTCCTTTCTACAACCCCATTTTGTTGGGGGTGTGTAAGGACATGAATGCTCATGAATTACACCAAGAGAACTTAAAAAAATGTCAAATTCTTTATTAAAAAACTCAGTTCCATTGTCTGTCCTAATTTTCTTAGGTGCAAGAGAAAATTGATTTTGAATCATCAAAATGAATTGTTTGAACACATGAAAAGTATCAGATTTCATAACCATTAAAAAGGTCCAGGTTGCTCGTGAATGATCATCAACCAATGTAAGAAAATATTTGAAACCATTGTATGTTGGATCCTTGTAAGGACTCCAAACGTCAATATGTAAAAGATAAAAAATATGAGCTGAAGAAGACAGGCTATGTGAAAAAGATTTTCTGTATTGCTTAGCCATAGGGAAAATTTTACAATGGTGAAATGATTCTTGTATAGAGATGTGCTTAAGAGAAGGAATCAATTTCATTCTAGAAAAAGATGCATGTCGTAATCTATGATGCCAAACAATAGCATAACACTAGTACAAGCACTCAAGATTGGTGTACAATTTGATTTATTTTCTATAACAGAGTAAGACAGATTATTAGCCTGTGGCATAAACAGATAGTAGAGCCTATGATATTCTTTACCAATCGCTATCATTGACCCAGTCCATAAGTCTTGAAACAAGCAAAAATTAGGAAAAAAATGACAGTAACATGATTGTCTTTACAAAATTTAGAAATAGATAATAAGTTACAGTGAAAGTGAGGGACAAAAAGAACTTTTTGGAGTTTCATATGTGAGGAAACATATATATCACCAGTATGGGTAATAGGTGCGATCATACCATTTGGAAGTTTAACACTAGGTTTTTTTGAAGAGTTGTATGGAGAAACATTTTCCAGACTTTGAAATGCAAAAGTCATATGGTCATTACTCATGTATCAAGAATATTCCAAGCATTATGTAAAATTGTGCCAAGAAGAGAAGTGATATTACCTGCTATATTAGCGGTGATTTCAGAGTCTGCCTGAGCCATGTTAGAGTTAATACTTGAACCATCTTTGCCAAGAAGTTTCAGAATTTCTTGGCACTGTGCTGGAGCAAAAAGACTTGAAAGTTTGCTCATAGATACAAAAGTCCTTTGTGGATCATCCATCATAGGAGATTCACTATGATTTGCAATAGGAGTCTTATAATTTTTCCCTTTCTTTTGTTTATTTCTTTGCCGATTATCAGGATATCCATATAGCTTCCAACAAAAATTGACTGTGTGATTAGCCAAATGACAATATTCACATTCCATAGGTTTCTTTTGTTTGGTACCTTGAGCAGAATTGTTCACAAGTTTAGCATTGTGAGTAAAAAAAAGCTGAGACATTAGATTGAGTGTTAACAACATTGGTAATTCCTCAATGTTTTTCTTCTTGGTTTAACATTGAATAAGCAATGTTGACTGTCGGCAATGGATTCATTAATAAGATTGAACTACGAACTACTGAATAACTCTCATTAAGATCCATAAGAAACTGCATAACTTTCTAAGTTTGCTTATGTTCTTTAGTAACGTTAGAAATAGGACAAGCACAATTAGCAGGTGGGGGCATTGAAGCATATTCATCCCAAAGTATCTTCAATCTTGTATAATAGACTGGAATAGTAGATGTACCTTGTTGAATCATAGAAATTTCTTTCATTATTGAATAAATTCTTGAACCATTAATCTTGTTATAGGTCTCTTGAAGGTATTTCCATACGGTAGCAGCATTGTTCCTGTTAGGGGTGTTCGGTTCTAGGTACTCTGTATTTTTTGAGGGAATCGGAACCGGAATTGAAACCAACGGTTCCTTGAAATTTGGAACCGAAACCTGTAACAACGGTTCCGGTTCTGGTTCCGGTTCTGGGTACCTTGTAAAATTATAATGACCCAAAAGTTTTTAAAATGAAAAAAAAACCCTTAAAAACTTACAAATACCGCCCACCTAGAACTTGTTAACAAAAATAAAATTACAAATTATGAATTCAAAATTACAAACTCCATTACTTTGTAAAGATAGATTCTCAAATGTCAAACCAACTTACTTTAAATGTTATGAAATATAAATATAAATATAAATGTATTCACATTACTTTTTCTGCAAAAGTTTTTATTAACCCCCTACTCTTTAATTTTATTTTATATTAGTCTCGGTTCCTGGTTCTGGTTCTGGTTCCGGTTCCGGTTCCTAACTATAAGAACCGAAACTGGAACCCCACAGTAACGGTTCCAAAAATTTGGAATCAGAATCTACCCGTTGACGGCAGGTTTCGGGTAGGAACCGGAATCAAACCTCAGGTACCCGTCAGTTCCGGTTCCAATCGTTTCTTTTGAACACCCCTAGTTCCTGTAAATAACTCCAGCAACCAAATCATTCAAAATTGTGTTCATAATCCATGACCTCACTGTTGCATCACACCGGTCCCATTGCTGTGCCTGAACAGAATCAAGAGGACGAGCAAATGAGCCATCTATAAAGCACAACTTGTTCTTGGCTAAAAACGCTATTCGCATCGCATGACTTCAAAGTCCATAGTTATCTGTTCCAGTCAAAATCTGACTCACTATTTGATTTCCAAGAGTATCAGAAGGATGCATGGATAGTGGATTATTGCAATCTGCTACCATTGTAGCTCCTTGAACATTGGTGTTTGTAGATCCACTCATTGTTGATCAAGAATTTAGGTCAAAAGAAAGAACTCTTTCAAGAAGAAATTTCAAACAAAAATTGAAAGATTCTGAATCAATTGAATGAAATAGAAGAAAAAACAATCTAATTGAAGGAAGATTTGCGGAATTTTGCTTGAATGTGCTCGGATCGGAGCCCTGATACCATATTACAAAGAGAAGAAGAAAAACTCTTTGACCGAGAGAGAAGAAACAACTATCCTTTTTTTATTCAAGTCTGATACCTTCTATTACATTTGGGTATTTAAGTAGCTTACAGCTGGATTTAGCTACACTAAAACTAATTAATACAAAGATGAATTAACTAGATGTACTAACTGCTGTTACTTTAACTTAACTTTTACTAGACTAACTGCTCAACTAACTATTAACCAATAGCCAGTGGCAGCGCCAGGATTTTTGCCCAAGGGGGTCCTTCACGGCTCCGCCATTGTTTGCCAAACAACTAGTGAAAACTTTTAAAAAGCCACCAAACCTTAAGCAAAAGAGTTTACAGCAACCACAATCCACCAAAAATATTCCACACAAATTTAGAGGTCAATCACAACTCTAACACAAGTAAAATACATAAAAGTTTACAAAGAGATAGATTAAAATCACCAGGGAAGCAGTCAAACTTCATGTTGTATAACTCTAAATCCAGACATTAATATCAAAACTCAACCGTCTAGATTAAAGATCCACACATCTTTTGCGTATTGACCAAAAAATCATGTTAGAATGGTATACCTAAAGATTTGAATATATGAATATTGATTGTTTAACTATGAAAGCAAGTTAGAATGGTATACCTGAAGATCTTCAAATTTAACACGATTTTCCGCTTTGATCTATTCTAAAAGTGTTCAATGATATCTTCATTTTCAATTGTAACAAAAACTTCTGTTTCAATGTAAACCACCAAGCAATTGTTCATCCAGTCATCTCCCATTCGATTACGCAAACTATTTTTCACAAGATTCATTGCAGAGAACACCTTTTCAACTGTTGCAGTAGCCACAGGCAAAACCAATGCTAATTTAATAAGCAAGAAAACTTTGTTGTAAGCAACATCCTTCTTGAACTCAACCATTTTTTTAGCAAGGTCGGCAATCCCTTCAACATGAGTGAAATTGGCATTGGTGCTAACATCCTCATAATAGTTTTCAAGTTGATCATCGAGCAACCAAATATCATATTGAGAAAAATAAGAAGGATAGAACTTTGCAAATTCAAGTAATCTATCTTTGTTAAATGCAACAAAAGAGTTACTTGGATCAAGAGATGACATACATTGAAGCAACCTCATATTTACTTCATCAAAAAGATTATTGAGTTCTTCTTGAATGTTATCCAAAACTATATACATCAATTCCACCTTAAAATAATGTTTATTTGTAATTGGCGCAATCCCCCGTTTTGTCCTCCCAAAGTTATCTTCCATATTCTCTAAGATTGGTATGTCATTATCTTTGCATATATCAGAAGCTTCTTTTAACAATATGTCAAAGCAAGTGTCTTCATTTCTCATTTTATGCAATCGAAGCTTAGAAATTTGTAAAAATTGTATAGCATTAAGAAGAACATGATCTTTTCTTTGTAATGGTTGTGACAGTTCATTTGTGATTCCCAATACTCTTTTCATTAAGAATAACAAAAAGACGAATTCAAAATTCTCCATAATTCGTAATAAACTCCTTGCTTGACTTTAGTTTTGCCAATTGTCTTCTTCAATCTCAACCACCCTAAGCACATCAACAACAGAAGAAAATAAATTTATGACACTATGAATTGTCCCTATGTGTGAACCCCAATGTGTATCTCCGGGTCGTTTAATAGTGCATTCTTGATTCAAACCTTGTCCCATATGAAGATCACCATTAGAAATCAAAGATATCACATTTTCATATTGTTTAGCATGTAGAAGATCTCTGCACTTACAAGATGCCGCTATAGTGTTTGATAACATAGAAAGAGATTGAAAAAATTCACCCAATGCCGAATGGTTACTTACAACTTTGACTAGCGCCAGTTGGAGTTGATGAGAAAAACAATGAATGTAGAAAGCTGATTTATTTTCTCTCAATATCAAAGTCTTCAAACCATTGAACTCACCTCTCATATTGCTTGCTCCATCGTAACCTTGCCCCTGTAAACTTGTCAAACTCAATCCATGCTTTACAAAAGAAGCATCTATTGCAATTTTCAAAGACTTTGTAGAAGTATTCTTAACATGCACAACCCCGATAAAACGTTCAATAACACAACCTATTTTGTCCACATAGCGAAAAACAATTGCCATTTGTTCTTTCACTGCCACATCACGTGATTCATCAACTAGTAAAGAAAATGGTTGTTTATCTCTCACAATTTCTGCAATAATTTTCTTGGTCGTCAAATGAGTACAAACACTAGTTAATTCCCTTTGGATGTTGGGGGCCGTCATTCGATGGTTTTTCGGAGCATTTTCCAGCACAACTTTTTTTATGTCGTCATTATGATTGGATAGAAACTTCAATAGTTCCATAAAGTTACCTTGATTTTCAGATTCAACGACTCGTCATGACCACGAAATGCCAATCTTTATTGTAAAAGAAATCTAATGCAATCAATTGATGCATTCAAGTGAATGTGATAGTCCAATTTGGCCTTTTTCGACACGCAAGCAAGATTTACATTGATGTGTTGCCTTTAGTTTATCAAATCAACACACTTGGCATGACATTGGTTATGAGTACTAGAATGATCTACAACATGTTTTTTCACTTTCGCTTTATCTTTCCAATTATTAAATCCCTTACTCACAAAAACTTCACCACCTGCTTGGTCACCATAATTAGTTTTGAAAAGATAACAATTTAAACAAAAGATGCAATCTTTTGCCACACTATATTCCATCCAATTTGGACCTTCTTTGTACCACTTTTGTGTAAACCTACGCTTTTTATCTCCGAAAAAAGTGAAAGGAAAGTTATGATCTTTAGGTTGGCAAGGACCTTTCAACAAGTATGCTCTTCGAACTTCCTCCTTTTGCTTGTCAGTACAACAAATCTCGCTAATTGGTATCATCAATCCTGGATCAGTTTCAAGCTCATCTAAATTGAACATCCCGATCGAAGGTTGAGCTTATTTTACTTGGTGTTGTTGTTACTGATGTAGGGCTTCTTCTTCTAATGGGATTTGATTAACCTCAATATCAATAGAGTCTCCATCAACAATTTATGCTGGAATTTTATTTAATCTCTTGAAATAATTGGATATCATAACTATCAAATAAAAAAAAGATTTAATGACACATGTAAAGAAAGACCGATAAAACTTTAATTAATAAAATTACAAAGACTGACTTATCACGTTTTTAGATGTAAAAATTAGATCTAATTAAAATATTATTGTAGCAATTAATTAATCATTTTATTGTGTTAATTTTCTTATATTTAAAATCATTTTAGTGAAATTTTAAAACTTATATAATTTGCTAATCAATTTTTTGACTTATTTAAATTATTGGCATAGATCAACTAGATTTAATTTAATTACTATTAGAGCATACTTAGTCAACTAATCACATTATAAAATAATAGAAATATCATTATTAAAATATTTATGGTTGGTGCAAATCAAGCTGTCCTCTAATTATATAAAAAAATAATTTTATAAATGTATTTGTGATATCTAAAGTCACAAATTAATAATAATGTTTTCAACCAATTACAAAATCAAACAAACACAAAACAAACTCACAAGATTTATATTTTTTTTTATCAAAATAAAAAACCTCCATAAAAACAAATATGATTTGACCTTAAAATAAACTAAACTAAAATAAGTAATATACATACCTAAAACTGATAAAGTAGAAAGTAGTCTTCAAAAGTTGTAACTTCAACCGAGCCAGTAAGACAAAGAGAAAGAGAGGCGCACTCACTAAATAAAATTAGGGATACAAAAGTTGTGGTCCTATAGAGATTAGGGGTGAGCACGGGTAGCGGGTAGAACCGGACCTGGGGGTAGAATCGAAATCGAAACCGGAACCTACCTGAACCAGCACTGTGCGTTTGGGTTCTTATGTGTGGAGGAACCAAAACCGGAACTGGAACCTGGAAAAAGAACCGATTTTTGGAATCTGTTTGGAACCTGGACTGTAATGAAAATATGAAATATTTGTGAAATGTGAATAAAGAATAATGGGGGGTTTCTATTATTTTACATATAAAAAAATTTAAAATAGAAAAAGTTAAATTTTTAGAATAACCTAATTAAATAAATATACCATCATACTTATTACATATAAATTACACCATATTAAAAACTTTAATATATTAATATTAAATTTTTGATTAATTAAGTGAATAATTAGAATTATGATCCAATTAAAAGTGTTTTAATGTTATTAAAAGAATTATTTTTTAATAAAATAGTATATTTGATAGAATAACAATATATTTAGTTATTTATTTCAATCATCAAGTTCTAAGTATATCTATAGTAAAGTAGGAATTAATTAATATTATATGATAAATTGATAAACACTAATAAATTTAATTACTGGTTAAATATCATACTTAATTAATTATAACATCACATTATAGTTAAATAATTACTTAATTAATTATAATTTTATAAAATTACTTAATTGATTTATAGTATAATTAATTATAGCGTTACATTAATTGATTACTACTTAATTAATTGACTTATAAGTTATAACATTTAATATATTACTTAATTAAATAATTAGAAATTTAATTAATTATAACATTACATTATAGATTTATAGTACAATTACTTAATCAATTATAACATTTTATTATAAACATTAGTATAAACTTAATTGAATGATTAAAAATTTAATTAATTATAATATTATATTAAAAATTTATAGTATAATTACTTAATTCACTGTAAAATTACATTATAGTATGATTACATAATTAATTATAATATTACATAATTAAATGATTACTTAATTGATTATGACATTATATTATAAATATTAGTAATTACTAATTTACTACATAAACATTACTACATTAGCACAATACTTAATTAAATGATTATAAATTTAATTAATTACAACATTACATTATAAATTTATAATATGATTACGTAATTAATTGTAACATTACATTATAATAAAATGATTACTTAATTAATTATAACATTCTATTATAAACAAATTAATTATAATATTATATTAATGATTTATATATAGTATGATTATTTAATTCATTGTAACATTTCATTATAATATGATTACATAATTAATTATAACATTACATAATTAGATGATTATTTAATTGATTATGACATTATATTATAAACATTAATTATAACATTACATTATAAACAAATTATTACTTAATTAAATGATTAGAAATTTAATTAATTAAACATTACATTATAGTTAAACAATTACTTAATTAAATTATAACATTATTACATTATATTATATTATGATCACTTAATTAATTATAGTATTACATAGTTAAATAATTACTTAATTAGTTATAAATTTATAACATTACATTATAAACATTAATAATTTACTAAATTATTACATTACTTAATTAAATGATTAAAAATTTAATTGATTATAATATTACATTAAAGATCTATAGTCTGATTACTTAATTCACTATAACATTATATTATAATATGATCACATAATTAATTATAGCATTACTTAATTAAATAACTACTTAATTAATTATGATATTATATTATAAACATTAGTAATTATTAATTTACTACATAAACATTAGCAATAACACAATACTTAATTAAATGATTAGAAATTTAATTAATTATAACATTACATTATAAATTTATAGTATGATTACTTAATTAATTGTAACATTACATTATAATTAAATGATTACTTAATTAATTATAACATTATATTATAAATTAATTAATTATAAATTTATAATATTATATTAAAGATTTACAGTATGATTACTTAATTCATTATAGTATGATTACATAATTAGTTATAACATTACATAATTAGATGATTATTTAATTGATTATGATATTATATTATAAACATTAATTGTAACATTACATTATAAATAAATGATTACTTCATTAAATGATCAGAAATTTAATTAATTAAGCATTACATTATATTTAAATAATTACTTAATTAAATTATAACATTATTATATTACATTATGTTATGATCACTTAATAAATTATAACATTACATGGTTAAATGATTACATAATTAGTTATGAATTTATAACATTACATTATAAACATTAGTAATTTACTATATTATTACATTACTTAATTAAATGATTAAAAATTTAATTAATTATAATATTACTTTATATATTTATAGTATGATTACTTAATCAATTATAACATTCCATTATAAACATTAGTATATTAATTAAATGATTAGAAATTTAATTGATTATAACATTAAATTATTATTATATAACTACTTAAATCATTATAACATTACATTATAGTATGATCACATAATTAATTATAACATTACATAATTAAATGATTACTTAATTGATTATGACATTATATTATAAACATTAATTATAACATTACATTATAAACAAATGATTAGAAATTTAATTAATTAAGCATTACATTATATTTAAATAATTACTTAATTAAATTATAACATTATTACATTATATTATATTATGATCACTTAATTAATTATAACATTACATAATTAAATGATTACTTAATTGATTATGACATTATATTATAAAAATTAGTAATTTAATAATTTACACAATACTTAATTAAATGATTAGAATTTTATTAATTATAACATTACATTATAAATTTATAGTATGATTATTTAATTAATTATAACATTATATTATAAACAATATTATAATACTTAATTAAATAATTAAAAATTTAATTAATTATAATATTACATTATAAACATTAAACATAAGTAATTTATGTGAATTGTGATGAATTGATTGAATTCAAGTGTTGCCTAAAGATTACAGGTTATGAGTTACATTGGACACAAATGAATAAGTAATCAAAATTTGTTAAGGGTGTATTTGTAAACATTTAAGGTATTTTTATCATTTTTTAAACTAATAGGGGGGTGATTAATTTTTTATAGGTTACCCGGGAAAGGAACCAGAACCTGCATTTTAGGTTTCGGTTCCTTGAATTTAAGAACCTGCACTGTGCGGTTTCGGTTATGGTTCCTTTTTTTGGGAACCTGCATTGTGCGGTTTCGGTTCCAAGTCTCCCAGAAAATACAGGGTACCAGGAACCGCTCACCCCTAATAGAGATTGGCCGCATATGACATATATATAATATCGAAAATGATAGAGTTACCGAAAATTATATACCGAATTCATACGCTGAATGACGTAGTAAAATCCTGACCGTTGATTAATTTTAACTAATAATAAATTAACGGTCAGGATTACGCTACGTTCTTCGGTGTACGAATTCGATGCACATCCCTTGATAACTGTAGCAATACTCATATAATATATTTATACTAATGAAACTACTGGGCCAATGCATTAGCCGCAATATTTATGATGGGTGAGCTTGTTGCATTAATATATTATAACATTTAGTTTGATTGTAGGCCATATATATTTGTACCTTTTTTATATAAAAATCATTAACTATAAATATTTACAATTTTTTTTTTCAAAATCGGAGGGTAGGCCAGGATGCTGGATCCGCCCCTGCCAATAGCGATAATATTGTATGATTAACGTTTATGGTGATCATCTCTTCTAGGAATTTCAAGAGCAAATTAATTAGGCCTAAGATTGACAAAATAATGAACCACGATTATATGTCTCTTGTGGTTCATTATTTACCTAATTATTTTGGCTTAAGCATATATATGCTTGATAAAACTTAAAACTCTTGATTGTTAATAAGTAGTCTTCCAAATACTAAAGTTTTGGCGTCACCGGACTCAAATGAAGATCATCCCACAGATGTCGTCCATCATTGGAGCACAGTCATGCCACCTTAAATCAAGAAAAAATAACATTTCAATATTCACTCTTAATCTAAGGAATTATCTAAAATTTTACATAGATATATAACTTATTGATCAGAAATGTTTTCTTTTTCTTTTATGTATTTAAACGTACCTCATTAATTAAACAGTAAGTGCTTCCAATAACATTGCCCTTTGGATTCAATTATTCAACATCAAGCAATTATATATATTTGATTCTAATTAAGGCAAATTGTTTCTAATTAGAACATTGTTGTTATTACTCCATTTCTGTATTCTCTTTATTTTGGGTATTTGTAGTATTGTCAAAACGTTTGTAATGTTCGTCAGAGACTAATGAATTTTTTTTTTAGTATTATCCAAAAATTTATAATATTTGTTAGAGATTATTGATGAAGTTTTTCTGCGACGTCTGAAGATAATAATACCAAATCTCATTAAATTCTTAGTGTTGGATAATAATACCAAATCTCATTAGATTTTAAGGACTATTTATTTATGTTTTAGTAGTCGTTATTATTATATTTCAAATTTTCAATTAGAAGCATTAAAGTTTGTGTTTATAATGCACACCACTTCTTTTAGTGTATACCACAATAGTGTCTTTCCCTTCAACTTTGTATAGCTTTGAATTAGATGGCTAGATCTTTATTTTTACATGGCCTTTGCCCAACTTTTTGTGATCCTCGTCTAAAAACAACATCGATTGACAGGAATTAATATGAGTGGACACCGGGCTGAAGAGGACATCCCATTCTCAACTGCACAATTCATCTAAATATCTTACATATGAAAAATATCAAATTCTAATCAAACACACAGCTGATCCATGGTCCCTTGCCATAATATCGATACCTGCAATTGATAGGTGAAGGGTAAAGGCTGCTTTCAGTCTCCCTTCTTTTCCGCAAATTAAACAGGTAGAGAGGACGACCATCCATAAAAGCCATTAAATTTTTTCACCAAGAAATCACAGAACCATGTCTGATCCATTATTGCCATCATAGCTTATAAGAGGAGAAAGGTTCGTTAGCTCCTGTTACAATACAGAGTACACCCAATTAATAAGAATATATATTACAACGACCACATTTACTTTCTCATAAAATAGATATACTTGTTGTTACGAATTTTCATACAATTAAAGAGTGATCCGATTGACCTTAAAGGAATTAAAACCGATAGATGTGTGATTAATCTCTCTAAAATTGCTAACGCCTTACAATTAGGTTTTTGGGGTTATTTATACATGAATTCGATAACGGTAGAATAAGGGATTTTAGGGATTGTGGCTTAATCATAGAGAGTTAATCCCATGATTAGCTTAATCACGCTAGATCCGGAATTACATGATCTGATGTTGAATTTATCTCATTGATTTTAAAGGATAAGGTTTATCTGTGATCTATGAGATAACTATTCAGATAGCTTGCTCTATCGAGCTTCATTTTCTTTGAGCTTCCATTAATTTCGAGCTTGTCCTAAACTCTCATACAACAATATTGAAACTGTGTTTTCTGTACTTTTGTTAAGTAATTTTTAGGATGTTATTGGCACTCCTCGGCTTCTTCAACTCTATTTACTTCCAAACCATTCTACCGAAATATGAAAAAAAAAAAAAAAATTAGGAATTATAAATTCAATTAATGTTTGTTTCTTTACTAAAACTCTATACTAGAATTTTCATACATTTTTTTTTTTGCTTACAAAAATGTCGATTATTGCTTGAATCAGTTTATAGATATATCCCAAGTTTTAATTTGACTTTCTCGATCATTACAGTGTTTCAGAATATTTATGGTTTTGTCATGAAATGAGCTTATCTTAACAATGGTACATTAAAGTATTAAACAACGTTCACAAGAGGAAATAAATTAATCACTTTCCAATTAATATATTGAAACAGTTCTTCATTATTACATTTACAATACTGCATACATATATTGCCAAAGAAATAAAATTTCATATATAACACTGCTTGAATGGTTTGACTTCAGCATCTTGAACAAACCATTATGCGACATGAACGCTTTATTCATTACAATAAAATACTTCTTAATTAATACAATCTCCATTATAAATTATACATTATGAGTGAAAATAAATCTTATTCTAATAATAGAAATTGAGCCTTTTCCTGAATGAGCTTCCATAATTCATTAACATGACGATCTTCAGTCAGAGTTGATCCTATGGCACAACGAATGACATACACACCACTCAACACAGTATGCGACATGAACGCTCTTCCACTTGAATTCACAGCATCTATCAGCTTTCCGTTCAGTTCCAAGCCCTCGTCTTCACGCTTTGGTTTGAGCCTGAAGCAAACCAATGCAAACCTTCTAGTCGCCATCATCTCAAAACTCTTATCTTCCCTCACTAGTGCCTCAAATCGTTTAGCCATTTCAATATCGCTACGAATGTGGTGCATGAGGTTAGCCAAACCATGTTTGCGAATCACAATCCACAGCTTTAAAGCTTTGAATCGTCTGCTCAACGCGATTTGCCAATCCTTGTAGTCTATAACCGTATTGGATTCAGTGGCACTATTCCTCATAATTTCTGAGTGAGTGGAAAATGAATCTACTAACAGTTTAGGTTGCTTGATCCACAAACAACAGCAGTCCATGTTTGTAAGGAACCATTTATGTGCATTCATGCTGATAGAATCCGCAAGTTCAACCCCATCCAAGTAATGCCTGAATTCAGGACATACACACGCACTGCCTGCATAAGCTGCGTCAATATGAAACCACAATTTGTACTCCCTGGCAATTTCGCCTAGCTCTTGAAGAGGATCAACTGCTCCTGAGCCCGTTGTTCCAACAGTGGCGCATAAATATAGTGGAACCAAGCCAGATTTGATATCGTCTTCAATCGCTGCACGAACTTTTTCTGGTGATAGTGAAAACTCAGTTGAAACTGATGTAGTGAGTGCTCGAAAATTTGACGAAGGAATACCAACTAGTTTAGCAGCCTTTTGGAATGTGAAGTGAGTTTGATCTGAGGCGTAAACCACCAACTTAGTTATGTACTCACAGACGCCAAGCTTTTCCAATGCTTTGTCTCTTGCAGTAGCCAAAGTGCAAACTACTGCCTCACAAGTACTTCCATGCAGGACTCCACCGCCAGTTCCACAGAACAAAAATGAAGATGGAAGCTTCAGCATTTTTCCCATCCAGTCCATCACAATGGATTCAAGTTCAGTTGCAGCCGGAGATGAAATCCAATTGAAGCCGACTACATTAAGGCCTGAGCAAAGCATCTCACCAAGGAAGCCGGCAGTGCTCGCATTTGCTTGGAAGTATGCAAAGAAATTGGGGCTTTGCCAGTGAGTGAGGCCCGGCAGTATAGAATCAGTGACATCTTTCAGAATTTCCTCCAAGGATTCTGAGCAATATGGGGCAGTTTTAGGCAACTGGGCGGATAAGTAACCCGGCTTGACATTGCTCTGAACTGGGTATGTCTCAATGTTTCTGTAATAATCTGCTATGAAATCTATCACTGTTTTCGATTCATCAGTGAAACTTTCTGGCTCCAAGGGTGAGAAGATGTTATTTGCGGATAGACTACTCATTTGGAAAAGACCTAAAGGATAAAGGATCGATGTTATTCTTAGACGGCTTTATGCTTTCAATTGTGCAGCTTTGGGCGTCCTTTATAGGAGAAAATTGACGCCACATTTTATTGGGCAGTTAAAAGATAGAAAAAATGTTGGTTGATGCACCAATTTGATGATGGATACGTTGCTCTTCTCATAAGCACCTAGAATTGTGATTCAACTACCTCTGGGTGGCAAATGATGAGATAGGAATCGTTTGGATGTATTACTTAAGGAGTCTTGAGTTTGGATCCCTTTTTTATTGCTAATAAGGGTAATCACTAGAAATTTTATGCGGCTGATAATTCTAAAGTCCTAAGAGATTAGTCAAACTACATGTAAGCTAGCTCGGATACTGCCGATAAAAAAAAAAAAAAAANGACGTTTCTAGAATGGCCACCATATGTGCTCATAGGGTTCTCACTATCAAGATTTGAAACACTTGATACCCTCGTCACGGTTCTACCATTCTAAGGACATATATCAATACATATTGCAATAATAATGATTTACGCGATATAGAATAAACTGTCTTTTATTGATTAATGAACATTATTACAAAGAGTCAATTCTATAATAATTGATTGGCTCTAGGGCATCTACTCTAAGAAAACTGTCTCCTTAGAGTGTGACCCGTAGGCTCCTCATCAGACTAGTAGTGAGTAGTATCACGATTGACACCAATCAATTGTCTCACTACACATAGACCAAGATTGGCATCATGGCCACCTGATAGATTCAGATTCAGCGAAATAGCTACTTGTCAACGATATAGTTATTGTGTAATCAAATCCTTTCATCATCTATTATCTCATCAAGACCGAGGTACAGAAATAGTATCAACCTTAGTTACTCTTGATATGTTTGTATTCAGTTACTGGACCAATGACCGGATAATAAATTGGATTGAGAAACAACTCAATCCTACTGTGGCCATAACTTTAGTGTCATTACTATATACTGAATTGTGTAGTGAGATAACTTCTCCCGTACTTGAGAGTGATAAATCCTCTTATCAATCCATCATAGTCTTGATACACTTATCAATGAAACCAATCACTACTGTATTGATAGCTTTAAATATGAACTATATTGGGCTAGTGTCAAACTGCACCAATAGGTGCACAAGGTGCTCCGGTGACCTCAAGTATAAGGATCACATGCACCACCATTTTTTAGAGGATTTATTCCATAAACACTAGGGCATATATTCGAAAAGTTCCTCAAGAAACGAGCTACACATAACTTGGAGGAAATTTGAGTTTTCTATGACAAGTCCAATTAGGACGATTGAAACAACTCTGTAGAAATAAAAAATGGCTAAACAGGGACATGCAAAAATATCTTTCATTGATTATAAAGTTTGGTTACAAAAAAAAAAAAAAAAAAAAAAAAAAAAAAAAAAAAAAAAAAAAAAAATCCTAAGCAAGTGGAGGAGCAAAAGCATCATCATCGGTCAGACCATGAAGCTCATCACCAACTAGGACATATGGTTCCTCGATAGTAAGAGTGACGGTGGCCTCTTCAGGGTTGGGAGCTAGCACATATTTCAGAATCTCGCCCGAAGGAAGATCGACAGTAATGGGGGAAGTATGGCCAGAGGATCCGGATCCTCGACTTCTTGTTTAAGGCTAGCTTCCTCCTCGCCTTCCTCGACTTCCTCTTGCCTTCACCTTCAGGCTTGGAATCATCCAAGTACACATAAGTCATTCTCTAAGCTTCGATCCTTATCTTGTCAACCTTTTTCTAATAAGCTCGCGGAAGAAAGGAGAAGTCGATCGAGGGGTGAGCTTCCCACAGGTTTTGCACAAGGAAGACTAATGTCTCCCAAGCCTAATTAGTGATGGCTTTATTTAACTCCCCGATTTGAAGCATGAGTTGCTCAGTCTCAGCCTCGGCATTTCGTCAACCTTCCGCTTCCTAAGCAAGATCGAGCGAGGCTTGTTTGAACTTTGCCTCCCAATCCGAGGCAATCTTCTGCACTAAGGTAAGCTCGGAGTTCAGCTTATTATTGGCACCTCGCTATTATGCCAAGTTCTTCTCAGCCTCAACCACCTTGGTTTCAGCCTTTGCCCGAGCAGCCTCACTTACCTCAATCTTGTCAAGGAACTCTTATCCTTGACCCCGAAAATCGCCATCTCTTTCCTAAGCCGTTCAAGCTCGGCCTGTTTCGCCTATTCCTCCTTCTCTGTAACCTCGGCCCTAGCCAAGCATCCTCCTTCAGCCTTTCCGCTAGCTGCCATCCTTAATAAGTGCCCTCCAATGTGGGATAACACTCATCATAGAGAAGCTTGCTTGCCACGATAGCCTAGAAAAGGAAAAGCACCGTGAAGATGAAGAAGTAGCGATGGAATAAGCAAGAATGCTTGAGAGTTTTTGCAAAGTGTGTAAGCTTTCTAATGAGTTTGCCTACTTTTATAGTAGTTTGCTTGGAAGACGAAAGGGCGAGGTTCGATCATAGCCATCGATCTATAGTGAATCTCGACCCTCCATTTGTTGAGCAATCTCGACCTTTGGACGTGGCCACGTGTCAATCATCCACGAGGGACGATCAATCGTCAGATTTCCATAATCATAACCGTCGTCGCACGTCGCCTCAACTTCACATGTGGATAACTGTAGTCACCCATGCGTGATGAAAAGTAACCACGAAAGGCTACCGCATTTACTGCGACATGACTGCATCGAATTTACACAAGTAACCTTTCTTTTCAAATTTTGAGTTTGACGAGAATGTCACAAAAAAGAAAAGGTGAAGTGTGGAGTACGTCGATTGGCCATAAGTCTAACTCATGAAGCTTGACCGAATCTCCATCCAATACCCTACCGATGAATGCCGAGCTTAATATCAAATCAAGCAATACTCTTCGAAGCTTGAAACGAGCACCGAACACTAGGGGGTAGATGTAGTGTGTGATTTTTCCACCAAGCTTCGAGTATTGCGAGGTTATAGCCTGATCCAGTACTAGCTTGACTCTACTGATTGTCCGACCCCGCATAAGCTCATCGAGTTATAGCTCAACCTAGCACAAGCTAACGCGATCAATCTTCGCATTTGTTCAACCAATTCACGGATAACTTCAGATCCCGGATATCTCGGGAAGGATCATATCAACAACAATCTTTGTGCAATCACAGTGTCTAATAGCGAGAATATCAGAGTTGCATTTCAAACTTAATTGTAATCCCTTTATTTTCACTCTTTCCTTTGTATAAACTATGTATATAAACCCCCCTTTAACGATGAGGAAGGGGTTAGAAAATTATTCTAGGATTGCATTGTAAGCTTTCACAACAAATACAATAACAATGGACGTAGGCTCAAGAGTTCAACTCGCCGAACCACTTTAAAAATCACTTTGCCATTTAGTTTACTACACTGATTATTTATTCATTGCTGGTTATCCGTAATCATGCAAATATCAATTCTGATCCCGACTAGGTCAATCGGATCACTCCAGTTGGTGGAATTCTTGCATCAACAATGATATTTGGAAGAAATTAGAGTCAGAATATGAATGAAAATTGCATACCTAGTGATAATTAATGCACTCAGAATGATCATCAAGGGCATGTTGAAGACTGATTTATCGATCTCTTTTTCACCACAAGTTGAATGACTAAAGCAACTACGGTGATCACAAAAATGAACTAGAAAGTTGTGCAATGGATTAACATGATAAGTAATTACATTGAATATCCTGAGAAAAAAACCATTTCTCTACTAAGCATACGTGTTCTGAATATAAATTCATAAGACTGAAGAAGGTTTATGTGAACACTAATATAAATATTTTTTTTGGACATCAAATATTTATAATTTAGGTATTATATCTTGTACTATTTAGAAATGAGAGTCTAGATCCCCAACTTAACAGATGAAATTCGGGTAGAAAGTGCAATACCCTAACCCACAACCGGTCTAACATAGTCAAGATATTGTCCGTTTTGACAGCCTGGGTGCTCCGGCTCCGAAACCTAATCCTCACGGTTTTGTTTTTAGGCCTAAGAACTTTTGCTTGAGCCCAAAACGTGTCTTGACTAGTAGAGAGTTCCCTGGTATTTAACCAACTCAAGCCCCTCCTTCCCAAGTGAGATGTCTCATAAAGGGCTCGGTGAAACTTAAAAGCAAATCCCTACAGGTGAAAGGCAATACAAACAATTTATTTTGTTAGATCAGGATTAGGGCTACAAATGAACCAAACACGAACAAACACATCCGTTCGAAAATCGTTTGATAAGCACAAAAGGGTGTTCGAAATCGTGTTCGAACTTGAACGAACACAGAATGGCCATTTGAGTTTGTTCGACGATCACGAATTGCTCGTTTTTTTAATCGAATAACTTGTAAATACCTATTCGAATAACTCGTTCGAATACCTATTTGAATAAAAAATATACTCATTCGATTAATTATTTGCCTCTCTCTCTCTTTTCGCATGGATGTTAGTAGAAACACCCGTGACCTCTCACTCTCTATCATCGATTCGTTTATGCAAAAATTGATTTCATTTTCATTGTAAGCTGATGATAATGCAAGAATTGGAAAATGATTTTAAAATAATATTTAATACCTTCCAAAAACACCCTTTTCTTGGCCTTCTTGATTTGATGGGGGCTAAGGCTAACTGTTGACTACTGAGGCTCTAGCGTTGTCATGTTGAGCAAATTTGCAGAAAACATTAGGGTGTGAGTGAGGCACTCAGGCTATCGCAATTTGCAAAAGGGAGAATATAGAATTGGTTTGGATTTTTGTTTTAAAATTTGGGTTGGGCCACAAAAGGGAAAATGTCGAATTGGGTTTGGATTTTTGTTTTAAAATTTGGGCTAGGCTGGGTTAGTTTGTTCGTTATATATATATATACACACAAAATTATCATCATAAATATATTAATCATATATTAAATATGTTTAATATATTATTAAATTATCAAAATTATATGTTATCGTATATATATTTTCATTACATAAATTATTATAAATATTTAAAATGTCTACATATATTTTGTATCAACAACCATAAATTCATAGTGAAACGAGGGTCTATTATAATGTATGATCAATACATATGTGTGATTAATTTGTTTTATATATATATATATATATTGTGTAATTATGTATATAAAAAATTATTATTATACATATATTAATCATAGATTAAATATGTTTAATATGTTATTAAATTATCAAAATTATAGGTTAGCATATATATTATCATTACTGTCTACGTATAGATTTTGTATCAACACCTATAAATTTATAGTGGTATGAGGGTCTATTGTAATATATAATCAATACACATGTATGATTAATTTAGGTTTAATTAAGCTGTTATATTATTAAATTTGTCATGTTATGTATCACTTAATTATACAATATATTATGTTCACAAATTTGTCATACTATATTTAATTAAGCTATTATATTATTAAATTTGTTATGCTATATATTATTTGAATATACAATATGTTATATTCATCAATTTACCATACTATATTTAATTAAGCTATTATGTTATTAAATTTGTCATACCATACATTACTTGATTATACAATATGCTATGTTCATCAATTTATCATATCATATTTATTATTTATTAATTGAAATGCTATCTCATAATATTTAATTATTGATTACATTTAAAAAAATATGAAGCTATTATGTCATTAGATTTGTTATGTTATATATCACTTGATTATACAATATGTTATTAAATTTGTCATGCTATGTATCATTATAATTTATTATTTTTTAATTAAAATGATATATACTTATATATTTAATTATTGATGACTTTTGAAAAAAAAAACAAAAGCATCATAATATTTTATTATTGATTACCATTTAAAAAAATTCATCTAAAGTCCAAACTAAACCAAACATAATATAAAAATGAAAAAAAATATAAATATATATAATAATGTGTACCATGTTTTTCGAACATAAACGAACGAATAAGCGAACAGGTTGTTCGCGAACGGATGGATTAGTCGAATGCAGTATGTTCGCGAACATAATCAAACGAATACCCCATATTCGAACTCGAATCGAACACATTATCGAACGAACATCGAATTGTTCGCGAACAGTCCGTTATCCAGTCGAATTGAGTTGTTATCGAACGAACGGCGAGCTATTCGCGAATAGCTCAGTTCGTTTGTAGCCATATGACTTAAATCTCTAAACATCCAGACAAGCCCCATGAGTAAAAACAGCCAAGGGCATCAGAGCACAAAACCCCTTGAGACAGGCCAAAAAAACCAAGAAGATCAAACCAGGATCAGCAGCAAAAAACCCCCATAACAGCACCTTAACCCCCAAAACGCCAGCCACACCAACCCAATTGCAGCAGCGAAAAAGAGTCAAAAGCAGCAACACATAACCACTTCAGAGAGGCCTATAATCAACACACACAGCCACACAACAGCTCAAAACAGGCCAGCAGGAAGAGCAGCAGACCAGTCCGCAACACCGCCACAAACAGAACCTAACACCCGCCAAACAGCCAACCAACTACCCGGAGCAGCAGTGAAAAAAAAAACCCACTGCAGCAACTCAGAGCGACAGAACTCCAGCAGGAGCAGCACAAGAGCAGCAGCGAAAAAAGCTCATATGCAGCTACTGAAAGCCACATCAGAGAGGCCTAAAGAAATAAATCTCGCAGCCCTCATTTCGTTTGGTAAGTGTAAAAACACTTTGAAAAATTAAATTATAAAGTGATTCAATTAAATTATAAAAAAAATTAAACTAAAAAGGGAATAAACAAATTAAAGAATCAAATGCATCAAAAACTTATTAACAATTCTCTCAATATTTTTAAACAAAGGCTTTATATAGTCAATTCTGCCGCCCATTCAGCCATCAAGACTCCACCAAATAGACAACATGCAAGACATGAGCACATGATAGCTTGTGAAAAGAATTTCATCAATCCAAAATTTTAATCACTGAAATAAACCAGCGCCAACTTCCAGCAGAAAACACACACAGACGCTACCACACGCAGCTAAGAAATCAGCAAAAAATAAAAGTAAAAATTGATGATGATTATAAAAATAAGAATCAAGGAAAACCAGTAAGTATTATAGTAATTTCAGGGGGCATGTTGACAAGAAAAAATCAAGGCTGCAATTTTACTTTTCAACGAAAAAGAAGACTACAAATCAAAATCATTAAGAAATACCTTCAATTGCTTTGACTTCCCTTAAAATTCAAATCACTCGGGATATTTACAGCCACCAAACAGTGACTATTTCTCTTCAGTTTCAGAATAAGCACAAACAAACACATAAGGACTAAGACAGCCAACGAATTTGACTAATTTTAAAGAGACGAGATGAAGAAAACAGAAGAAACCCGACTGCAGAGGAAAAGAACAAAAATTAGATAGGAGAAGGAAATCACTTTTTTCCTTCCACTACCGAGTAAGAATCAAAGAAAGCAAGAACCTGCAAAATACTTCAAGAACTAACCTTATAAGACTGAGAAACTGGAAACTTGTTCCTTTTTGTCTGCTGAAAGCAACCCAATATAGCTTGATCTTCAAACTTCTCTCCCAACTGCAACCAAGAAATGATTCCAAGAATCGCCAACTCTTTTTTCAACTCTATTCATCTCTCTGTCTCTGCAGTTAGTCCCATTAAACTTCAATGTTATTTAGTATTTTTAGGGATTTCGTTTTTTGTTAGGGATTTTGTTTTATAAGTAATTTTCTTTTTTAAATACGGGTACCCGCGGATACACCCGGCCCACCCATAGAAAAAAAGGTCCAGGTTCACTTTTCACGGGTTCACAAGACTTGACCCTGTACCCTATATTATTTACTCAGATACAGGTTAACGCATGAGTACAAACCCGTTTTGTCAGATCTATTGGTAATTAAAAGAGTCCAAATGAAATAATAATAACAATTAATTTTGTTAGACTTACTTAAATAAAATCGGAGATTCCTCAGTTTTCTTTTATAATTAAACAAATTCAAATCCAAAATTTAGGAAGAAATGAACGCCGATAAATGTTTGTGGTTGAAGCTTTGTTTTTGTCACGGGTCTTTAACAACTTTATCTCAAGAGAAGAGTCAAAGAAAATGATTAATTAAAGTGTAAACTCAATTTGATTGATGTTCAAAATACTATGTTTTCTGGCCTTCATTACCAATCGAGCTAGCTGGATCCTCCTCTTTGATTGCTTCTAACATCTCCAAGAGTGTCTTCCTGTCCCATGAGATATCTTCTGCAGTGAACATTGTTTTGATTCTTTCTGTCAGAACCCTCGCATCCAGTTTTCCTTCCAGAGCTTCAAGTATCTGCTTGGAATATAATGCAACCAAGAGTTATAAGCCAGTGTTCAATTCATAAAACTTAATGGAGAGCTAAAAGTAATTATTTAACACTTGGTTTAAGAACCTGGCTCATCTACAGCCAATCTCCTGCTGGATAACATACAATGGCGGCAGCACACTGAACCATCCAAAACATTTTCGTTCTTGTCGAATTTCCCTAACTTTGGAACGGTATAAACAACGTTTATGTTGTTGTCTTTCACAGCTTTTCTGAGCATCGATTTTGCCTAAAAGTTCATAGAAGTCCGTGTTTATATTTACTCTGCAAACAATGCAAAATTGACTCCATTCTTGCACCCGTAATTACCAATGCAGAAACTAAATTAATATCAATCAAATTATTTACACACAAAACTGCAAGTGGGTAACTTCAATCACACGATTCCTAACAGACTGGAGCTGATGAGACAGAATATGATCTTGACAGCCAAGTTTTCATAATCAGGATCAGAAAGCTTAATTTTATTCACAAGTAGGCATCCAGTAATCAACTCCAAAAGCAGCATTCCAAAGGAGTAGACATCTGACTTCTCATTTAACTTAATCCCGGAGGTGAAAAGATCTGAATCTATGTAACTGCATTCGGAGAAAATCCATCATCACAAGTTACAGAGGATTGTTCACGACAATATAAATATATATAAGTTATGAACAACAGAAAACAGTTTTGCAAATATGACAGATAAAGAAGTGTATTTTACCCAAAAGTGCCCTTAACTTCAGGCTGATATGAGTTTTATCAGCTAAAATGGACCTGGCAAGTCCAAAATCCGCCACCCGAGGAAAAGCATGCAAGTCAATTCATTCATCATATATAGAAGCCAACATAAAAAGCACACAGATGTTGAGCACTGAAATGAAAATAATTTCAATCTTTATCTGCAGTCTGAAATACTTTATCAAACGGCAGTACAAACATATTCAAGCATTATGCAGATATAGATCAAGTATCCAGAAAATAGTTTCATTTCACGTATGATGTATTTAAAAGGATATACCATAATAATGTGAATCCATTACAAATCATATCTTGGCTTCCCATTTTTCATCCAAAGAATGTTAGCTGACTTGATATCACGATGCACGATCCTGGGCTTACCAGCTGCTGAGGACATATACATTTGCATCATACCGTCGGAAAATTCAAAACAATATCTTCCATCTCAAAATTTGTTTAAATTTAAGAAAACAATACTACCAAAAGAATACTCACAGACGTCATGCAGATGAACCAATCCTTTTACTGTGCCTACCGCAATATTGAATCTTTTTTTCCAGTCCAAAATTTCTTTATCATTCTCTGGAAAGTTATCATAATCTGATGAGACAACAACATCATAGTTAAAAATGCACAAAATGCTGTGACACTTTCTAAATCCACATTAATAAATCCAGTAATTCCCATATAATATATATGATTATTATTCAGAAGCGAATGAATTCGGAAATATTAATCACCAATTTCTGTAATTTTAATTTTTTAACCATAAGTGACATCTAATCACAGAAGGACATACTATGTAAATGGAAGTGTAGGATTTTTTTGAAACGAATTCAACACAAGCAGTCTCTCAGTCTCCCGAATGCAGTATTCAACAAGATGTTCAAGATATTCGTGTGATACCACTAATGATTTCTATCTCTTTCTGAAATTCTTGCTCCTCTAGTCTCCATTCAGCTCTTTGCTTTTTTATAGCACCAATTTCCCATCTCGAAGGACTCCTTTATAGACAATGCCAAAAGCACCTTCACCAAGTACTTTGTCTTTGGAGAAATTATTTGCAGCCTCCTTTAGTTCATAATAAGTAAATGTTTCGACATTGTATGGTTAGAGGGCCGTGGATGCTGTCTAATTCCTGCGGACGATCCATCTAGAGAGACAGGGAAAAAAAAACAAAAAACAAAAGAAATAATCAGGAGATGCGCGTTCACATGCATGGAAAACAACTATTGTAACTTACTTGATTCACTTGCTGCAGGAAACTGTTATTGTTGCCTATCTTGTTGCGTGTCACTATAGAGATTAAAAAAGAGTATTTAAATTGAGTTCATAAGTGAAGCTTAAACAAAACAAAACAAAAGAAATAATTAGGAGATGCCCATTCATATATATGGAAAGCAAATCTGAACACTTACTTGTTGCTTGGAAATTTTTTGTGCCGACCCTGCTGAGTGTCACCTAGAGAGATAAAAATGAGTATTTAAATTGAGTTCATAAGTCCAGTTTCTCATAAGCTCACAAGTTCATGTCTAGGACTTAAAACATTCAAATGTGTTTATGTAAAATTGTTATAATTGATTCATTTATGCTTGCTTTCGGTATATAATGATATGAAACTCAAAAGTTAATTTCGCAGGGAAGGAGAAATATTGATTAAATATGAAACGTTTATTGCAAGGATAATTTTTTTTATTAAAAAATTTGGCTCTACAGGGAACACATAAATGAAAAAGGGAGAGGATAGTACATCTGAATTCGATATATTTTAGGAATTTAATCATTATATGCCGATAGCAGTTACAACCAATCTGCCTTACCTAACTAAGTTACAAGCTTCACGCTCAAGTTAAACAACATACCCGTGACCACATATAGAGTGGCTCGCGCATCTTGTCTTGTCGGAGCAAACACATGGGCCTGAGCTTGAGGTCGTCCTCGTCCCCTCTGTCGGTCACTACTCCTACCCACAACACTGGCTTGCTCTTTAGCACCAACTGCAATAACTTCCTGAGTCTGGGGGCTCTGCTGGCCCTGATACTGATCACTACTCCCTTGGAAGTTCCGTTGAACTGACCTCTGTGTGGTATGCCTAACTTGAGGTAGAACAAGACAATCCTTTTTTAGGTGGTCCTTCTGTCCACAATTATAACAACCGGTCAGCGGATAGAGTGCAATAACTATGGGAGATACCATGGTATGCCTAACATGATATCTCCCATAGTTATTGCACTCCATCTGCTGACCCAACTTGTACCTATACTCTGCTATTTATCATCATGGGATCCTCTATTGCAAATGTTACTACCCACTGATCGTTGTCCTTGATTCTGTCTCTGGTTCTGACCTGAAGCACTTGACGTTCCAGAAAAATTGCCCTTACTTTTATGTTTTTTATTACTAGGGCCACCAACTGACCAATCCTCATTATTAAGATTATGCTTATGTGGCTCTCTCCTATCCAACCTTCCCCCATTAGTCTCAATACTCATAGCCGCCTTAGCCAACTCCTCGAACTTTGGGTAGGAGTTTGTGGTCACTACTCTTCTAATTCTTTGTCGGAGGCCCTCTTCAAATTTCTTACAGTTTGCCCTTTCATCTCCGACAATCAATAGGGAAAATTGGACAGCTCAATGACATGTATTCTTCCACCGACATGTTTCCTTGAGTTAACTCAAAGAATCTTGGTAAAATCGGGAGTAATAATGGTCGAAAAATTCTTGGTGAAAGTTCGCCCAAGTGATTGTCCTAGAATCCCCATACTTATCCTGTACCAAACTCCACCAATGGAGGTATGCTATACCCTCTAGTAGGAACTTAGCAAATCGAAGTTTCTGAGCCTTAGTGCACTCCATTACATCAAACACCCACTCAATCCTATCCATCCAAGACTTCGCATCCGTGGCATCTCCAGTCCCATCAAACATGGTTTCCCCTAACTTCATTGCTCTCTTTACAGTTTTTTCACTTGCCTGACGCCTCAATGTCCGATCTTAAGCCACTCTCGTAGGCAATTGATCTAACCTATCAATTGTCTGCTCCATGTTAATCCTATCATTTTGGGGCTCTACATTGACTTCAATGACTAGTTCTACCCCTACATAATGATCATGGGTAATTGGCTCCACATATGGTCCTTGAGGTTCTGGCATGTGGGTAATTGACTCTTCTACTACTTCCCCTCTAGGCTCACTCGTTCTCTTGTGTACTTGAGGAACTAACAATTCCCTCACATACTCGTGCAAGGTTGGCCACGTCAACTTATTCTGATATCTACAAAATGTAAACAAAATTTAATTTCTTAAAAACAACAGCTATGCCTACAATTAACTTTCTTTCTTTAAGAAAAAACTACATGCATTATGAAAATGCCCTTAAAATCAAAAACTTGGCTCTGATAGCAAGTTGACACAAGACATGAGGCATACACATAATGTAAAAACATGAGTTGTTAAAGAAAATATACAATGCATCAATAATACATGTCCAAATCCATGTTTGCAGCTTTCCTACACTTCCACATTTGCAAACCATTACAAAAAGATGCATTCCCCACAAGTCAACATCCATATTA